GTGCCCAGATGGTTATAGAATGCCTGGGTAACTGTTTCTCTCAAACTGAGATCGCAGGGGGTGTTCATTTAGGACTCTGTGGCATCTATAGCCATTAATGGCTTCAGTGACCGCCATTTGATGCAACATTTACCGGGCGCTTGTAATTGACAGTCCGTCGACGTCCGATAGTATGACTTCTTGGATGTCGCTGAAGTCCATCCGGATGTGCCTGGAAGGGGGATCCTCCATCAGATTATAATGGTTGGAGTGACTAGGCAGATGGCATGCCAACAGGAACTGTCTAGTCAATAACACATTAAGTTGTCTGACTGACAGTAACCTGGTCTCCACATGTAAATGATCCACATTCGTCATCTTGACGCATCCGGTTACAATCAGAAGTGCATTATTCTGTGCTGTTTGTAAATCTCGCCACTGGGTATCACTAAGGAAAGAGGTCCATACAGGGGCCACATAATTGAGAAGAGAGCGACCAATAGCCTTATGCAAATGATACACATTTGTCATCTTGACGCATCCGGTTACGATCAGAAGTGCATTATTCTGTGCCGTTTGTAAACCTCACCATTTGGGTATCACTGAGGAAAGAGGTCCATACAGGGGCCTTATACGTCGTTACAATCGTCTCCTTATGCAAACCCTAAGAGGTGCCATCTAGAGCTTTAAGGACCTTATTTCGAACCTTTTGATTGATGTAGTTTGCGTGCACTGCAAAGTGAAGGAGGCTGTCAAACACTACCCCTAATATTTTTGAACCGTGGGGATAATAGGTAATTCTAGAACTAGTTTTTTTTTAAAGCGATATTTGATTGTTTTTCAATCGCTTCCAAGATGTAGTTTCGAAGCAGGTGTGAGTTCTATTAAAGAATTGTACAACTAGTGTTAAAGAATTAGTTCCTTTGAAACTTTACAGAAGTATTTAGGAACCAAAAAATTCTCGACTCTCTACTATAGGCGAACAGTGGCCTCTTTCCAACTCAGGCCTCTTTCTGCAGAGATAATAGTGTTAGTCTAGGAACTGATGCCCAGGGTATACTTAAGCTATGGAAGCACCACTTTTCCAAGCTTTTTACACTTTAAGCTATGAAAGGATCACTTTTCCAAGCTTTTAAGAGCCGATGAAGTGGAGAAAAATACTTCCGCAATAAGAGATTTTGCTCCCAATTGATCAGATAGAAATGCCAATTGCAATATCCTTGTGGGAACAGATGGCTTGCCAATAGAGTCATTTAAAACTGAAGGCGAAGAGTCGGCACTGCGCTGGCTCTAACGCTTATGAAAAATAGAGCCTGAAGAATGTATCCGTGCCGTATCCTCAAAAAGTTGACCTTGAAACCTCGAAATAACTGTATATTTGTCGATTTGAAAGCTGAAAAACAGACTTAGACCAAAGAATATTTAATACATAGAATGTTCGTCTCATATAAAATTTTCAATAGCGGGTCCTAACACATAAAGAATACGTGTATCGTGCGATTTATTCAATGAATGAGTCCACGATTACAAATAACAATGATATCAGTTTCAAAATAAAGTGGCGAATATTACTTGGACTTAGTAAGCAATTGAAAATTAAAGTCCATTTCTGACAGACGGAGGTAATACTATACAAATCACTTATTTTAACTGTTCATCTATGAGGCGAATTGAAAAAGGGGGGAGAGTCCGCTCTACCACCGCCTATAAGCGTTAATAAGATTTTTCAAATCATCAAGTCTAAAAAGTAAATAAATACATATAAAGTTATTGGTAAGTCATTACTAGAGTCCTTCTAAATAAAGCAGAGGTTATATATTAGACATTGAAAAGTAAGTAGTTGGATAAGTACAAGTCATTAACATGTTTTTAAGGGTAACTATTTAACAGGAAGACCACTCCTTTCTTTTAAACATTTATTAGGAAAAAATATTTGTTACCAAAAAAGAATAAGAACAAGGCTAATATTTATGCAAAATTTTTTTTTATAAAACACATTAACAACTTAATTTAAAACAAATACCTATTTCTAACAACATTGGCAAGGCTTCACTTGAGTTAATGACCTTAATAACAAACTAAAGAAATATGATATTTTAACTGATGTTAAATTAAAACTTAAATTTTAATCAAAACTTTTAAACAAATTTTTCAACCAAAATAAATTTAACTAAAATCATTCTATTGGAAAAATGTACAAATAAATTTGGCACAAACCATAAACAACTTTAACTGGAAAAAAAAACTTTAATATATAGTAAGTGATTCCAGCGAAAGTAATATGACTCCAGTTTGTTTTTTTCTGTTATTTTATTTAATAATAAAACTTTCAAAAAATTAATCAATAAAATGTTGTAGACAACATTTTATTAACTAACAAATTTTCATGTTTGCAAAAAAAACTACAAAAATCAGCAAGTTAAATTTAAAATATGACATTGTAATAAAAATAAGAAAATAATGTTTTAAAGTTTTTTTTTAACAATTTTGTTAAGCAGAGGAAACTCAAATAAAAATAAATTGTTAACAAGTTCAACTATATAGAAAAAGCTTTTTTTCATATTATAATTTATGTGTTTGCCAGCATATAGAGTTTAGGCCAAGAAATACATCATCTAACTTGTTGTTTTTACTCTTCTACTCAGTTAGTTAGTTAAACTTAAAAAACTTTGTTGTATACGGGAGAAATTGTTCAAAACTGACGTTGTCTTAACGAACTCGTAAATTAACATTTCGCTTAAGAGGTTGATCATATAATTTTTGTTTTTCCTATGTATGTACGTTTTGGCTTAAACCAAAAGAAACAAAAAAATCATATAAATTTTTCTTTAAAATTTGTTTTTATGACATTGTGTAGCGAAAATTTTACGATTTGTGGTAGCACAGTCGTAAAATGGTAGAAGAAAATAGTCGTGAGATTTTGCATTTTTGATGAACTCATTTCGTGCTGTGGCATATTAATAATGCATCCATTCCCCCCGTTGGTAGTAAAATACTCATAAATTTTAATTTTTTTATAAGTTTTGTTTAAGGAACATTAAGTTTAGCTGAAATATAATTAATTATTTTTGTTTAAATATAACTGCTGTTAGTTAGAAAGTTGTATAATTTTAGGGATAAATGTTTGAATTTTAATTATTAATTTAATTTTTAACTTTTAACTAATTTTTTCCTGGAAAAATTAACCTAAAAATGCTTTAAAACTATTTTAACAAAGAACGACGTTGAATAATAGTAACGGCGTTATTGGTTAACGACTTTGTACTCTTAGTAACAATGTTATCAACTTTATGTAAAATACAACATTGGTAATAATAGCAAATCTTTTTTAGGAAGAATTACAATCGGCTTTTGGAAAAAAACGTGTACTATTTTGCTCCCAAAAACTTGTATAATCAAACAGTTAAATAAATCTGGACCGATTGCATTCCGAAAGTAGAAATTGTGAGGAACTGTGTAACATTGGTCCCTGATATGATATTGAGTGAAGCATTTTGCCAAAATCTGTTGATACACGGACTGCTAACTAACTAACTAACTAACTAACTAACTAACTAACTAACTAACTAACTAACTAACTAACTAACTAACTAACTAACTAACTAACTAACTAACTAACTAACTAACTAACTAACTAACTAACTAACTAACTAACTAACTAACTAACTAACTAACTAACTAACTAACTACTAACTAACTAACTAACTAACTAACTAACTAACTAACTAACTAACTAACTAACTAACTAACTAACTAACTAACTAACTAACTAACTAACTAACTAACTAACTAACTAACTAACTACTAACTAACTAACTAACTAACTAACTAACTAACTAACTAACTAACTAACTAACTACTAACTAACTAACTACTAACTAACTAACTAACTAACTAACTAACTACTAACTAACTAACTAACTAACTAACTAACTAACTAACTAACTAACTAACTAACTAACTAACTAACTAACTAACTAACTAACTAACTAACTAACTAACTAACTAACTAACTAACTAACTAACTAACTAACTAACTAACTAACTAACTACTAACTAACTAACTAACTAACTAACTAACTAACTAACTAACTAACTAACTAACTAACTAACTAACTAACTAACTAACTAACTAACTAACTAACTAACTAACTAACTAACTAACTAACTAACTAACTAACTAACTAACTAACTAACTAACTAACTAACTAACTAACTAACTAACTAACTAACTAACTAACTAACTAACTAACTAACTAACTACTAACTAACTAACTAACTAACTAACTAACTAACTAACTAACTAACTAACTAACTAACTAACTAACTAACTAACTAACTAACTAACTAACTAACTAACTAACTAACTAACTAACTAACTAACTAACTAACTAACTAACTAACTAACTAACTAACTAACTAACTAACTAACTAACTAACTAACTAACTAACTAACTAACTAACTAACTAACTAACTAACTACTAACTAACTAACTAACTAACTAACTAACTAACTAACTAACTAACTAACTAACTAACTAACTAACTAACTAACTAACTAACTAACTAACTACTAACTAACTAACTAACTAACTAACTAACTAACTAACTAACTAACTAACTAACTAACTAACTAACTAACTAACTAACTAACTAACTAACCAACTAACTAACTAACTAACTAACTAACTAACTAACTAACTAACTAACTAACTAACTAACTAACTAACTAACTAACTAACTAACTAACTAACTAACTAACTAACTAACTAACTAACTAACTAACTAACTAACTAACTAACTAACTAACTACTAACTAACTAACTAACTAACTAACTAACTAACTAACTAACTAATTAACTAATTAACTAACTAGCTAACACTTTCTCTGTTTCTTTTAAACCAATTTTTTCATGAGGAGGGTGCCTGTTCCATAACTTTCAAAAAGGTCGAACATTTTTCTCAATTTGTTGGTCTCAATTATAGAACTCTATGGGAAAAGTAATATGGCGTTCACTTACAGTTATTTTTCTCGTTTCTCGTTTCTCGACTCGTTAGCTGGCAGCTGTTAATCAGTTCAAAAAGTTTATCTCTTAATCTTACACTTACTGCCAAAAACTTTACCTTCAATTTCCAATTACAGGTTTTTCCCATAAGCCCTCATAATAACCTCACATTTTCAAATTTCTCAAAGCCCTCTTTTTAAAGCTGTTAGGTTAATAACTGTCAACGAAGCGTTAAGTTTACTAACTAATTGCCTTAACAAATAAATAATTCTAAAAAAAATTTAAATACAAAATAAATGATTTTTGAAAAAAAAAAACTCTTAACAAGTCAAAGTTAAAGTACGTGTTTAAACAAAAAATACTACTTAAACTAAATTAGTTTTTATTGTTAAAATAATATTGTTTTTCGTTCACTTAATATTTTTCGCAATATGAATGAATGAATGAATGAGTGAAGCTTTTGGTTTAAGTTGCCACGTAAATTGAAAAAAAAGGCCAGACGCGCTTTCATTGAAAATACTCAAGTACTAAAAATAATTATTTATGAGTTCACTTTATTCTAGTATGAGTAGGTTAGTCTTTATTATTTTTGCCAACAATAATAGTACAAGTACATATTTTTCAGATAAGACTGCAAAAAAACAAAAATTGGCTGGCGCTTTGTATGGAGTCAACATAAAATTATAATTTATCACACAATAATATCATCACGTTTTTTAGTGCAAAAAAATTTGTACAAAATGACTACACAAACAACAATAACAAAATAATAATAATTACAAAATATATTTATTTTTAAATCGCGAACGCAATTCGTGAAAAACAAATTATAAAAGAACCACAGAAAAAAACTAATAGTTCTTTGTGGTATTTAGATAGATTGTTGATACTTTTTTGGGTATGTTATCGATCGATCCATCCTTCCGATCCAATCATAAAGAATTTTATTTGATTTCAAAATATCAGTAATGAAAACAATAAATTTATGATGACGTTATTTATTAAACATCTATTGTATATTAGTTTTATTATATAAACAATTTCTAACTAAAATCAACATGCCTCTCAAGATAACAATGATAATATTTAACCGCTATAAACTTCAACAGCTGTTCTATATTTTATCTAATTTCTACAACATCCAAGCAGAAGCAATGGTTACCAATCAGTTACTTTAAAAGGAATATCTTCGTTTTTATTAAACTTTTCAGTTATGGTGTTCTTAAGTAAATGGAATGTGGGATCTAAGATGTACTGTGACATAAATAAGACAACAGGGATGGGAAAAGGTTTTTAGGCTAAACCATTTGCCAAGTTGATAAATTGAATTAATAATACAGAATTAGACTAGATCATGGCCTAGACTGTAGACTATAGAATAGATTATAGATTGGACTATAGGCTAGACTAAAGACTAGGCTATATACTAGACTATAGACTTCACTATAGACTAGACTATAGACTACACTATAGACTAGACTATAGACTCGACTATAGACTAGACTTTAGACTAGACTACAGACTAGACCATAGACTAGACTATAGACTAGACTATAGACTAGGCTATAGACTAGACTATAGACTAGACTATAGACTAGACTATAGACTAGACCATAGACTAGACTATAGACTAGACATGACTAGACTAAAGACTAGACTAGACTATAGACCAGACTATAGACTATACTATAGACTAGACTATAGACTAGACTATAGACTAGACTAGACTATAGACTAGACTATAGACTAGACTATAGACTAGACTATAGACTAGACTATAGAGTAGACTATAGACTAGACTATAGACTAGACTATAGACTAGACTATAGACTTGACTATAGACTAGACTATAGACTAGACTATAGACTAGACTATAGACTAGGCTATAGACTAGGCTATAGACTAGACTATAGACTATAGACTAGACTATAGACTAGGCTATAGACTAGACTATGGACTAGACTATAGACTAGACTATAGACTATAGACTAGACTATGGACTAGACTATATACTATAGACTAGACTATATACTAGACTATAGACTAGACTATAGACTAGACTATAGACTAGACTATAGACTAGACTATAGACTAGACTAAGACTAGACTAGACTATAGACTAGACTATAGACTAGACATAGACTAGACTATAGACTAGACTATAGACTAGACTATAGACTAGACTATAGACTAGACTATAGACTAGACTATAGACTAGACTATAGACTAGACTATAGACTAGACTATAGACTAGACTATAGACTAGACTATAGACTAGACTATAGACTAGACTATAGATAGACTATAGACTAGACTATAGACTAGACTATAGACTAGACATAGACTAGGCTATAGACTAGACTATAGACTAGACTATAGACTAGACTATAGACTAGACTATAGACTAGACTATAGACTAGACTATAGACTAGACTATAGACTAGACTATAGACTGACTATAGACTAGGCTATAGACTAGACTATAGACTAGACTATAGACTAGACTATAGACTAGACTATAGACTAGACTATAGACTAGACTATAGACTAGACTATAGACTAGACATATAGACTAGACTATAGACTACACTATAGACTAGACTATAGACTAGACTATAGACTAGACTATAGACTAGACTATAGACTAGACTATAGACTAGACTATGACTAGACTATGGACTAGAGACTATAGACTAGACTATAGACTAGACTATGGACTAGACTATAGACTAGACTATAGACTAGACTATAGACTAGACTATAGACTAGACTATGGACTAGACTATAGACTAGACTATGGACTAGACTATAGACTAGACTATAGACTAGACTATGGACTAGACTATAGACTAGACTATAGACTAGACTATAGACTAGACTATAGACTAGACTATAGACTAGACTATAGACTAGACTATAGACTAGACTATAGACTAGACTATAGAAGACTATAGACTATAGACTATAGACTAGACTAGACTAGACTAGACTACTATAGACTAGACTATAGACTAGACTAGACTATAGACTAGACTATAGACTAGACTAGACTATAGACTATAGACTAGACTAGACTATAGACTAGACTATAGACTAGACTATAGACTAGACTATAGACTAGACTATAGACTAGACTATAGACTAGACTATAGACTAGACTATAGACTAGACTATAGACTAGACTATAGACTAGACTATAGACTAGACTATAGACTAGACTATAGACTAGACTATAGACTAGACTATAGACTAGACTATAGACTAGACTATAGACTAGACTATAGACTAGACTATAGACTAGACTATAGACTAGACTATAGACTAGACTATAGTCTAGACTATAGACTAGACTATAGATTAGACTATAGACTACACTATAGACTAGACTATAAATTAGACTATAAAATAGACTATAGACTAGGCTATATACTGAGCTATAGTTTAGTCTATAGCCTAGTCTACAGTCTAGTATATGGTCTGGTATAAATAAAAAAATAACACTTAATTACCCACTAAATCGTGCCAAACTTGCCAACTAAATTTGTTACTTTTCCATCAAACATAATTGACATTGACCCACTTACTGTTAAATTAAATTGCCAACTATTTCTTCTTCTGCTGCTTCATTAAGAAAGCGAGATGCTCTAAAACAAAACAAACAATTTGTTGAACAACAAGTTGTCATCTTTGGTTACCAAATATGATTTCAAAAATAAGACAACAACTTAACAAATAACTAAATGGATGTTGGTCATTACCATATTTGTATTAAAGATTTATTGCCGCCTTAAAAGAAATCAAAAACTATAACAGTAACAACAACAACAACAGCAACTAACAATTGTAACACAACAACAATCCACTGACAAAAAAAAAAAAAAAAAACAAAAACATATGTCAAAGCAAATACATGTCAATTGAACAGGGAGAGCAAAAGACTCTAAAGCAAAATTCAGTCATAAAACCACTATTTAATGTGTGTCAACAACAATGAGACACACACCGGAAACCGCCATTAAATATGCGACAACGCAGCAGACAACCACAACAACAACAGCAAAAATATCGGTAACAGCAAATGCAATAATGCGTGTGTGAGGTAGGTCGATTATTTAGCTTTTTTTTGGAAGAACTGAACCAAAAAAAATCTTCCAGCGAAAAGCAGCCCATAAACAAATAAAAGTGTTAAATTTATCACATAAATCAATACAATAAAAAAACACAAAAAAAACACTTCCGTTTAACACAATGTTTTTGGATGGGGGCAGTTTGATTTTGTTTCTTGTTGTTGTCTGTCTGTCTGCTGTTAAAAAATCTTTTATTCTTCAAAAAAAAAAAAAACTAAATTTGACAAATACAACTGTTTGTTTTTTTGTTCAAATTTCGATTCAAAAGAAACCCACTTGCTAACAATTTTGAGTTTGAAATGTATTTGAAATACAAAAAGCAAGACATTTTTATAGAAAAAAAGTGCAAAATTGTAAATGAATCCACACGCATTTTATTTCCACTCAAAATAAATAGTAAAAAATCAATTTAAATTGAAAAGTAATATAATTTTTCTTCATTTTTAAACGGGCGTTTTTAACGCCTAAACATATAAATCTACTACGAAAGAAAAAAATGTATTTAACATGAGAGTAAGACATTCAATATGTAACAACTACCAAAAGAAAAAAATTAACAAAAAACAAACAAAAATTTTAAAGTTTTACAACAAAAAAGCTACTATTGCATTTGCTTAAGAAAAGTTTTTTTAAAGGCTGTTTAATTCATTGAAATTTTAAACATGTTTCCAGTGATGCCACATTATTATACCCTACAACACTTAAGTGGGGAGGAAATATATGGTTTGTGCTAATGTTTGTAACGCACAGAAATATTGGTCATATACCCACCTTAAAGTATACCAATCAGTTTGGAATCATTTTCTGAGTTGATTAAGTCGTGTCCCTCTGTGTGTTCATGTAAACCTTGTTTGCTGAAATTTAGCTTATACCTACTTTTCTGACCCAAGGACTCAAGCCTACTGTAAATGGTTGAAATCGGTCCGTTATTT